TTTTTGTCATTTTTGCAATTTTATTTTATTGTACAGTGAAACCTGGGTAAACTGAACCCTAATAAAACCAAGGATTTGTATAGTAAGCAAATCCTTGATAAAACCGAATTCCAGTTTAAACAATTTTCAAAGTCCCATAAAATTCAATCAATGTTAATCTAACCTGAACAAACCAAACCCTGTCAATACCGAATTCGGAATGCTTTTTGAAGGCTCGTCAGTGAATGTGTATTGAAAAATTACCTGTCAAAATCGATCAAGAGCAATGAAAACATAAGGTATTTCAAATGATTTGCATGAGTTATTAAACAAACACAGGATGACAGAGTATACCTGAGGGTATTTGAAGTTGGTGAGTTGTTATTATGAACTAATTAGCTTGTTTGTATACATGTTTGTACGACTTTGTCCCCAGCAGAGCTATAGAAAAACAGTACATTAACGGGTGTTACACGGACACTTTATAGATGATACAAGGACACTTTTTAGTTGTTACACGGACACTTTTTATGAATAGACTCACTCGTGCATGATCAGTGAGTTCATGGGCACTTTAAATTTCGATTAGATTTAAACTTTTTGTTTCACCGACATATTTCCTGTCTGTTTAAAATATTTACGTTGGCATCAAATAACTGTATTTTTTTCAAACAATTCCAGTATATTACTATTCATATCAGTACACTACGGAATTGACCATTTAACTTCAAAAGGGGGGTTATGGTTTTTTCCACAAAAAAAATATTCTGATCCCCAATTTTATGAGAAAAAATATAGTGTGGTCAAGCAGATGACAAAATAATGTTCTGATTCCTGATTTTCCGAGTACAGTATATTAAAGTGCTAATTTCGAAAAAAATATTTGGTGATAGCGTTGAAAAGGTAATTAATTTTCTTACTCAGAAAAAAAAAACATACCCCTTTTGAAGCTAAATGGTCGGTCCGTAAATGTATTTTTTCAATATATGGACATGAATAGTATTCTGGACAATGCTGAAAGTAAAGAAATGCTGGTACCGACGTTTATATTTCAATATTAAAGACAGTAAATATATATACATAAAAAAATCAAATCTAATCAAAAGATAAAATCCCTATCAACTCACCAATGCACGATTGATCCTATAAATAATAAGTGTCCGTGTAATACACGTCCAAATAGGCAGCAAATCTTGAAGAAAATCTTTCAACTTATGTCACCAATTTTGGACGGTAAGCTGCGATTGGATCATAATTGTGACACGTGTTTAATCCTGATCAATACTATTAGAGACCTACAAGCATGAACATTAAAAAAAAAACCAAAATATATGCCTATATATATATCTAATAACAAGCCAAAATCTATTTTTTCATAACATTTCATTCACTAATGAAATAAGAACTTCGTTCTTTTTATACATTTATACTGTTATTGAAATCATATATATTGAATTCATATATTTGGGAGCAAACGGACGATTTTTATTATTTTTTTAAGGGGGAATGGGGAATGGAATGGCACATCCTGCATTTTTTCAACAAAAAAGGATCAAGCCTGTTATTTTAAATGTTAAACCCCCCCCCCCCCCTCCCCCCTTTCCGTTTTTCCCCAAATAAAAATCAAATGTTAGCTTGCTTACCTCTTAAATCTTTTTCCTACATTACTTATTTGCGAAGTTGCATTTAAAAAAGTCTCAAATGTGTACGACATTCATCTTTTACTTGATATGGTTCTTTTTTATAAAATTATTAGATTTTTGAATTTCTTGAGAAAAAAAAACTCTCGGCTGAAGGAAAGTGAAAAAAAAAGTTCGTTTAAACTGTAACTTACATTAACTTGTATATGGTCATTTAAGTCTCTAATCTGTTTAATTTTGCTACCTCTTCTAAATGCAAAATGTACTACTTCTTTCTTGAAACGTCGTACAAGTCAGATACAAAACAAAGGTAACAAAAAACAGGCCGGAAACAAACTGCCGTATAGTTTTTCTGCACTTGTAGTCAGGTCAAGGTCCTCGGCTATCGCCTCGGACCTTGACCTGACTACTCGTGCAGAAAAACTATCCGGCAACGCTTGTTACCGGCCTGTTTCCTTGTTACCTTTGTATTGTATCTAATACATACAGTGATGAAATGGAAACTCTGTAAAACTAGATGTGTCGGAACGACACGAATGGCCCCGTCTCAAAAAATTTTAAAATCCGCAATTTTAACAACACATGTGGACACAAACATGCATGGATAGTGTCCAGCTCTCATGACCAATACTAGTTTGATGAAAAATTTCCTTGATCAATGAGTAGTTAAATTTCAAACTATCAGCAAACAGGTAGTGGATGTACTGAAGATTTGTGTTGAAACGACATGAAAATCAGCATATAAGAATGAAACATAAACTTGATCTATAACTCATCATGGTAGACTCACATATCAAACATCAGTGCAAAATCTGAAGGCGTGTAGAAAAAAAGTCCGTATAACTGTGATTTTCAACAATTTTCAAAGTCCAAAACCCATAATTACGGCAAAAATCAGCAGAGCACAATGAAACTTAAACTTGATCTATAACACATCATGGTTAACCCACATACCAAAAATCAGCCCAATATCTGAAGGCGTTTAGAAAAAAAGTCCGTATAACTGTGATTTTCAACAATTTATCAAAGTCCAAAGCCCGTAATTTCGGCAAAAATTAGCAGACCGGAACTAAACTTAAACTTGATCTGTAACTCATCATGGTTAACTCACATACCAAAAATCAGCCTAATATCTGAAGGCGTTTAGAAAAAAAGTCCGTATAACTGTGATTTTCAACAATTTATCAAAGTCCAAAGCCCGTAATTTTGACAAAAATTAGCAGAGCGGAACCAAACTTAAACTTGATCTGTAACTCATCATGGTTAACTCATAAACCAAAAATCAGCCGAATATCTGAAGGTGTTTAGAAAAAAAGTCTGTATAATGGTTTGTTGCGGAATGACGGAATGACGGAATGACAGAATGACGGAATGACGGAATGACGGACAAGGGTAAAACTATATGGCCCCGACAATAAAAATGTAAAGTTGATCAGTTGCCCCCATCGCCGAAAAGAAAGGAACTTTCCCTTGAATACTAATTGGAATTAATTAAATGCATGAGTTTCAAATATTTACTGCCAGAAATTCATAACTGCCATGCTGTACCTGAACTGTGTAAATAAATTATTGTTTTTAAAGCCAATCACTGGATTGATAAGTTGTGGAACAAAACAAAATCAACAACTTTTGAATCATGTTTTCGGGATGCTGGATTCCCTTTACAGGCCCCATAGCCAGAAATGAGTAGTACTTTTGCTAATTAATATTCATAATATGTAAATGAGAATTGTACCACGTGATAATAGTTTGAACTGGACTGGCTTGATATCATTAAAATCTTTAAAACACGGATATTATAAGTTGCCCGTCACAGAGTCCTTGTTTATAATCACTCTGATATTTCCGTAAAGTTGTCAGGCAGTCAAAATCAAAACAATGAACGCGAATTTAGTGAATTTTTCGAGTTTTCGTGAGTTTATTCTTCTTGAAATAGAGGCATTTTAACTTTACGTGGGAACCTAGAGTTCAACGACTTCACATATAAGGTTTGGACTTGCTTATTCTTTGGACATTCAAGTTTCAAGTTTCACCCCGGCAACCTGTATTTCTAATGACCTTGTTAGCCAATTTTCAACACGAAGTTTGCAAATTTGACGTTTCAGCCATTTCAGCCTGTATTTTATACTGCAATGTTAAAAGCCTCTCGCTTCGATTTTTAAAATAGCTCAGGAACCTTGATTTTTGCAACGCCAGTCATTATATTTCGTTTAAATGGTGTATATTGTTGTGTATATTTATTTTCTGCCCCGGCAACCTGTCTATCACTTAAATCAAAGTTAAAACAGACATTTTTTTCTAAATTCCCTATCATTTCAATATAATTTCCGTGACCCGTATCCGATTTCTTTAGTATAATATTCAAATAAGCAAAGTGGCGTTGATTTCTGGATATGATCAAATGCAGATGATTCTGAAGATCCGGATAATGATGTTCCTTTAGATATTTAGCTTAGATAAAGTCTGAGAACTCGAGTGTACAGATATTTGGAACAGACAATGTTGATCTCGATTTAACTACGGAATCGTCATTTGACAGTGAAAAAGAAACTGAATTGGTCAGTGAATTAACAGATGACAACATCATTATGAAAAGCAAACTTGATCCGTGTCAGACATCATTGAACGGTTATTACATGTTTACAATATACCTTATCGCTATTTGAAAATCTGCGCCTGTTGCCCCGAGAATCTGCGCCGCTTGAACTAATGACATGCACTTATCCATTGTGGCGTCGGATATTTTCTTTTATGACGTCAAAATTTTACGGAAACCTTTGTCGTGTCCAATAATGGCGGACAAATAGCAATAATGTGTATGAAGAAAGAGATTGACGAAATGGCATTTGATTAAAAAAAAAATGTACTATGTCTTTCTTCATCTATTTGATATTTTCAGAAAATCAACATGAAACTATATTGTCGTCTGTTGTCACTGGCTTTCCTCGTCAGTAAGTGTCAAAATGATATTTAACTGTCCACTTCCGTTTACCTCTACAATCCGAACACCTGTGAAAACCGAACAAAACACAAAGTCCCGAGGGTGTTCGGTTTGGACATGTTTCACTGTAGATTATCTTGTTAAGGATTCCCCATTTACTACCGTTTCGACTGCTTCAGTCAACTTCAAAATTTTTATTAATCATTTTGTGTACTAAAATGGGAGCTATAATCCGACACCCCGAAAGTCTGACAGTCCAGTAGGCATGGTAGGACAACTGGATTATGAAAGATTATTAAACCTCAGTTTCACCTCTATAAACAAAAAGTCGGACGAGTTCAACAGACAACATTATGGCATGAAGAAAAAGATGCAAATATATCAAGCCTCTTGACTTTGACAATAATGATCTGATACAATTTTGAAATCGAAAAACATACCAGAGTGTCCTTTTCTGTTTCTTTTTGCCTACAAAATATTCAATAATGTATTAAACATTGGACAAAAACAAAACATTTTGGTTATAAGTGAAAATTGAATACATTTTAACTAAAAATTGCATTTTACCTAACAATAACCGATATATTCCTTTGGAAATCCGGATAAAAAGTGCACATCATAATGAGAATGTGTATATAATTCCAAGTTAATGTGAGTACAACTTCATGGTAAACTATCTTGACTAAAAACTTTTACCCAATACAGGACGGACAAACGGTCCTCAATAACGGAGAGAAGGAATTTTGGACCGACAGATGCAGAGCCCAGAAAACATGATGTCCTATTACTATCATAGGCGAAGCATGAAAATATCTATATATTAATATTTTTCACAGAAACCTTTCACAGTTCCCAGTAAACGTAAGAAATGCCTTAAACACCCATAACTATCCACTTTGTACATATACACACTAATTGTGTGTAGGTCTCTGCTTGCATGCATCTGTATGTCTCGGGTAATTCTACTTCAATACTATATATATATATCACATTCACAAGTATTCTGTCACCCGCCACTGTGAATATAAATGAAGAATGTGTCTATGGGCCACAGATGCCTCCGTTTGTAAATATGCATGAGTCAACTTCCACATACAGATGCAGGATTCATGTAGTTAAGACTGTGTTGTGATTAATATAATGAGCATTGGGTATAAGTTTAATTATGAAACATTTGGTTGAGGCAAACTAAAGTTAGAGAACAGAAACAACAGATTTAGCAATTTTACCATTTATAAAGGGCATAACTCAAGAACGGTTAAAGTGATGCCACCCAATTTCAAACTTGATCTGCTTTTTTGTGGTAATAAGCATTGTTTATAAGTTTCATAACATTTGGTTGAGGCACACTAAAGTTACAGAACGGAAACGAAAAAATGCAGCAATTTTTGTTTATAAAGGGGCATAACTTATGAATGGTAAAAATGACGCCACCCAATTTCGAACTTGATCTATGTTTTGTTGTAATAAGCATTGTGTATAAGTTTTATACCATTTGGTAGAGGCAAACTTAAATTAGAGAATGGAAACAAAAAACTCAGCAATTTTATGTTTATAAAGGGACATAACTCATGAACAGTGAAAGTGATGCCACCCAATTTCAAACTTGATCTGTGTTTTGTGGTAATAATTAAGCATTGTGTATAAGTTTTATAACATTTGGTTGAGGCAAAAAAAGTTAAAGAACAGAAACAAAAAATTCAGCAATTTTTATGTTTATAAAGGAGCATAACTCAAGAAAGGTACAAGTGATGCCACCCAATTTCATACTTGATCTGTATTATGTGGGAATAAGCATTGTGTATAAGTTTCATAACATTTGGATGAGGCAAACTAAAGTTAGAGAACAGAAACGAAAAATATAGCGGTTTTTATGTTTATAAAGGGGCATTACTCAAGAATTGTAAAAGTGACGCCACTCAATTTCGACTTGATCTGTATTATGTGGTAATAAACATTGTGTATATATTTCATAACATTTGGTTGAGGCAAACTTAAGCTAGAAAACGGAAACGAAAAATTCAGCAATTTCCATTTGTAAAGGGGCATAACTCTAGAACGGTTAAAGTGACGCCACCAAAATTCAAACTCAATCTGTGTTTTGTGGTAATAAGCATTGTGTATAAGTTTCATAACATTTGGTTGAGGCAAACTAAAGTAAAAGAACGGAAACCAACGTTGGGACGTACGGACGGACGTACGGATGGATGGACGTACGGACATACAGATGGACAAGGGTAAAACTAAATGCCCCTCCGCTACGGCGGGGGCATAAAAAAGAGTGCCTATGTCCCCCGCTTTGCAAATATTTGATCTATCCAAGGGCACTTTTTTTTGTAGTTCTCTAAAACATTTAAAAATATCTTGGAGAAATGATGGCTTGAGAGCAAATACAATGCAATTTCCAATATAATTAATATTTCCAAGGGGCATAACTATTTTCAAAATAGTTGATTGGCACTGATTTTCGAACTTGTCCGAGACATTGATGATATAAACCAATGCTTTAATATTTATAAAAAAATATTATTGTGGCAAGAATTGACACATGAGAACACTTACACGACCGGGCTAACAGACAAATTGATGGAAAGACAGACAGACTCCCGGTATTGCCATAACGTCCACAAGGCAGAGCGCGAGGGACAAAAATTAAAAAATCTAAACAGAGCATGCTATTCAAATATTCTGATTAATTCTGATAAATTTGATTAAAAATTCCAGCCATTTTCCAACTTGATGATGTAATCATTTAATTGACAAGAATTTGATCAAAATCTGATGAAAAATGTAGGTGTAAGAGCACTCAAAATATTGGATGGATTGGTCAACAGCATTTCCATATCCCCTGATTTCATCCTCACAGTAGGGGACAACTAAAGATATAATTTGGAAACACATAAAAGTAAGCAAAGATAAAAAACAAGAGTGTACACGCTGAAATGTCTCACCTTCTTTACTAACCATTGAAAAGCTTTGCCGTAGGGACTTTTTTATGAATTAAAGAAGGTAGGGGGTTGGGTCACCATACCCCAACTTTGGACCTCAATTACAAAAGATCCATAACTTTACCCACCTTGGTCTGGTTCCATACAACCTTAGACAATTGCCTATCATTTGTAACTAGTGGACCTCAGTTGTCGAAATTCCGTAACTTAACCAACCTGGGTCTTTTAGTCCAAGCAACGTTAGGTAATTGCCTATCATTTGTACCTAGTGTGGACAAAAGTTTTGACATAGGAACTTTTTTTTATGAATTAAAGAATGTAAGGGATTGGGTCACCAGACCCCAACTTTGGACCTCAGTTGTGGAAATTCCGTAACTTTACCCACCTGGGTGTTTTAGTCCAGGCAACGTTAGGCAATTGCCTATCATTTGTACCTAGTGTGGACAAAAGCTTTGAAGTAGGGATTTTTTTATGAATTAAAGAAGGTAGGGGATTGGGTCACCATACCCCAACTTTGGACCTCAGTTGTGGAAATTTACCCATCTGGGTCTTTTAGTCCAGGCAACCTTGGGCAATTGTCTATCATTTGTATCTAGTGTGGACAAAAGCTTTGCCGTAGGGATTTTTTTATGAATTAAAGGAGGAGGGGTAGGGTCACTATACCCCAACTTTGGACCTTAGTTGTTGAAATTTCGTAACTTTACCCACCTGGGTCTTTTAGTCCAGGCAACCTTTGGCAATTACCTATCATTTGTACCTAGTTTGGACAAAAGCTTTGCCGAAGGGACTTTTTTTATGAACTAAATTAGGAGTGGGTAGGGTCACCATACCCCAACTTTGGACCTCAGTTGTGGAAATTATGTAACTTTACCCCCCAGGGTCTTTTAGTCCAGGTAACATTAGGCAATTAAATAAAAGAAACAAACTTAACAAGGAAACATTAACATTGATCAATGAACCAAACCCATAACCAGGAACACTTAACATTGTTCAAAGAACCATGAAAATGAGATCAAGGTCAGATGAACCCTGCCAGACAGACATGTGCACCTTACAATCATGACATGCCTCAAATATAGTTGACCTATTGCATTTACATGTAGTATCTAAAAAACAAACTTAACCAGGAAAAATTAAGATTGACCAATGAGGCATGAAAATGAGTTCATGGTCAGATGATAATTGCAAGACAGACATATAAACCTTACAATCTTTCCATACACCAAATATAGTTAACCTATTGCTTATAGTATTAGAAAAACAGATCAAAAAACAAAAACTTAACATTAAGCAATGAACCATAAAAATGAGGTCAAGGTCAAATATAACATGCCAGATTGACATGTACATCGTAAAATATTTTCATACACCAAATATAGTTGACCTATTGCATACAGTATTAGAAAAACAGACCAAAACACAAAATCTTAACTTTAATCACTGAACCATGAAAATGAGGTCAAGGTCAGATGACACCTGCCAGTTGGACATGTACACCTTTCATTCATTCCATACACCAAATATAATAGACCTATTGCATACAGTATTAGAAAAACAGACCAAAACACAAAAACTTAAATATAACCACTGAACCATGAAAATGAGGTCAAGGTCAGATGACACCTGCCAGTTGGACATGTACACCTTACAATCATTCCATACACCAAATATAGTAGACCTATTGCTTATCGTATCTGATATATTGACTTGACCACGAAAACTTAACCTTGTTCACTGATCCATGAAATGAGGTCAAGGTCAAGTGAAAACTGTCTGACGATTGAGGACTTTGCAAGGTACGCACATACCAAATATAGTTATCCTTTTACTCATAATAAGTGAGAAATTAAGAATACCAAAAATCTTAACTTTTTTTTCAAATAGTCACTGAACATGAAAATTAGGTCAAGGACAATGGACATATGACAGACGGAAACTTCATAACATAAGGCATCTATATACAAAGTATGAAGGATCCAGGTCTTCTACCTTCTGAAATATTTAGCTTTTAAGAAGTTAGTTAACGCCGCCGCCGGATCACTATCCCTATGTCGAGCTTTCTGCGACAGAAGTCGCAGGCTCGACAAAAAGTATGAACTTTCCTTTTATCTAAATGTTACAAATAGACCTTTTGATTTCTCCTTTATATAAAGCACCAGTGTTGAGTTTGTAATAATTTGACCCAAGCATACTAGAGCTAGTGAATGACATTTAAAAGATGCATTTTATTTCTTTGACAGTCAAAGTCCCATATCTCTGGTATTTTGTTTTTTTTATATCAAACAGTAGGTCCGAGACCACAGTTATTTCGTAGTGCATTTCTTTTAGACAATAAATAGAAATTAGAAATATCCCAACTGCGCTTTCTCAATAATATTTTTACAGTGTGTTGTACTACTTTTGGGACAAATTATATCAAAATTATAGAAAACATCATCAGCTTTAATTCAAAATATGGACAATTTTATGTTAAGGGGGTCTTGAAAACTTTTGACAGCTTCCGAAATGCTAAATTTTAACCTTTTTAAGCCGGACCAAATCACTACTTTACTTTAAAATTCATGACCCAAATTTTCGTACAATGTAATTTCATCCCCCTACTTGCTATCTGAGGCATAAAACATGAAGAAATGAATTTGGAAGTGGTTTAAAAAAAATTTGCAAGTAACAAACTGTCCACACTAGGGACTATATTCGTAATAGGATAGAAAGACTTAACCAATCTTAATCAAACTTGGTATGACCAAAGGTTGATAAATGTTAAGACTGCTGACAAAGTTTCATGGCAATAGGATATATATTATAGACAATAGGATAAATTCTGTATTCAACTTTGCGTGTAAAGTTTTGACGTTAAAATTGAAAAATTTCAACTATCAATATTTGGGGCTTTAAAAATTAAAATATTGCAAAAAATTACTTTTTAAATTCTTTAATATTTAAAACATCAAGTACTAAAAGCAAAAGAATACTCATTTGATGTATCAGATTTATCACAATTATTCAAAAGTCAAATTTATATGAGCCTGTGCCTGAAAATGGAGGTTTTCCAATGAAGGGGGGCCTTACATGAATATGTAATATTTTCCAGCAATTTTAAATTTGTGAAGTTTTTTGGTTATAAATAATCCTTACATATGTATTTAGTGTACTTTAAATGGAAAGAAAAATTAAAAATAGCATATTATATGAATATAAAATGGACTTAGGCCAAGTAAGACTGAAAATAATTTAGGGTCAATTTAGGCCTTAATAGCACATATTTATGTTTAAACATGCATACTGAAGCTATAGGAAATAAAAATTTGTTTCTTTTTTACCATTTCTATACTCAGGTTACATGATACAAGAAATCTGAGTACAAAAGGACTCTTGCATTCAACTTTTTTTGCAGACACTATGGTCTGATACAAAGATTTTTCACTTTTAGGTGAAAAACTTGCATGCAATTTTAGTCTCAACAGGCATATATTTGAACCACTTGCTATCCTACAGTTGAAAAGAAAGATATTATGTGAAATGAAACGGGTACAAAAGACATTGTAAAGTGCTTTTTATACAAATTTAGTGAAATCTTTATTATGGACTTCAACTTGTACACATGTATCAAGCTCCTCACATTTAATTTGCTCCAAACAGGGCGTTAGACGAGGACCATTCATGCAACACATTTTACGCAATTTTTTGAGTTAATCTACTTTTCTTTAGATTCAGAGTTCACAAATGAACAATACAACTTGATTAAAGCCTATAAACACAAATATTGACACATGAAAACCTGTCAGATAGAAAGTCAGAATCCCACTTATGCATCAAAATTGAAAAAGCTTTGAAATGCTTATTTTGACCATATAATGCCAAAATGGGTAATTTTTCCAGAATTTCTATCAAATAAAAGTATAAATCCTTTAGTTTCATGCTATTTGACAAATTGACACCATTAAATCATTCAGGGAAGTTGCCAAAGTACAGATTCTATATTTACTGATTTCATCTCTTAGGTCCGAGACCACAGTTATTTCGTAGTGCTTTTTTTTAGACAATAAATGGAAATTAAAAAAAATCCCACCTGCGCTTTCTCAATAATATTTTTACAGTGTGTTGAAATCTTTTGATAGCTTCCGAAATGCTAATTTTTAACCTTTTTCAGCCGGACCAAATCATTACTTTACTTTAAAATTCATGACCCAAATTTTTGTACAGTGTAATTTTATCCCCCTACTTGCTATTTGAGGCATAAAACATGAAGAAATACATTTTGAAGGGGTATAAAAAAAATTTGCTACACACTAGGGACTATATTCGTGGACAACGAAAATCAAAGGACGATAACTGTGTTCCTGGACCAGTATGTTATATATATAAATTCATTAATTCCAACATTAACAATGATGTAAAGTTTCAAATGTAAATCCAAGCAAACTCAAATTAGTATGCAACATGTGAAAATTATCTTAAATCTGACAATTAAAGTCCCATATCCCTGGAACGACTACCCAGAAATGAAAAAATCAAAATATTAATCCCAACAATAATGTGTAAAGTTTTGAGTAAATCAATCCAGGCATACTGGAGATAGTGCACAATATGTGAAAATTGCCTTAATTCAATAGTTCAAGTCCAGTAACTGTGGAACAACAAAGCTGAAAGACAGCTTTCTTCTGTCAATCCTAATGTTGTGTTAGAGTTACATGAGAACTGGTAAAAGGAAATTTAAGTTAAGTGTTGACGAACAAATGGTATACTATAACACGTTCAGTCTTCAACTGACATATATAATAAACAGCTGCACCATGAGTGCAGGATACGCCCGTCGCTTTTTCAAAGAATAAAGTTCAATAACTTCTCAATGTCATATCAGAAATTTATGAAAAACTAAAGGGAGGTTATCTTAATAGATATAAACCAGACACCAAAGTTTCATGAAAACTGCTGAAAGCATTTTTGAGTTATTGTCCGAAAACTGGAAAATCCCCCTTTTTTAAAGAAACACCCCATAACTCGGAAATGTAAAATCTAAAATTTATAAAAAACGAAAGGGAGCTCACACCAATAGATATAAACAATTCACCAAAGTTTCATGCAAATTGGTTACGGCGTTTTTGAGTTATTGTCCGACATGTTGACGACAGACAGACAGACAGACAGATGGACAACGGTATACCATAATACGTCCCGTAAACGGGCGTATAAAAATGAAGATTCTAGTGAAAGTAAAAATATTTTCTGTTATTTAACCCCATTAACTTCTGAATTAGGTAAAAATCTTTTAATGCATACTAATTATAATTACAAAACGAGAATGCTGACATGACACATACATACTTAAAAAGACCTAGTTTCTAGAAATCTAGTTATTGTATTAACTTTTATTTATTGTTTTACATATGAGAGTGATGAATGGACAATAGATCAAAATTTGCAACTTTAGTATTAAAGAAATAGGGGAAATTTGGGGACTTTTTGTAACTTCTTCTTTAACATGTATTTTTACAAAATGACCAGAAGAATTTTTTCCAAGTTTTCCATTTTCAGTTATCAACAGAACAGATGTTCTTTTACCTATATATCCTGATCTGTGCAAAGTTGTTTGGTGGAGGGGGCTATAAGTATCCGACACTAATCACAAATGCCATACACATATTTTTTAACACAGAAGACTCAAATATAATGAGCATTCTGTTAAAGACACATGTGGCTATGACACATACATAAATTACTCATAGTTCAATGAGGTCTTCACAAATGATTACCAAAAGGAAAAACCTTATAAACATATCCAATGTATAATATTAGAGATACTTTACCAATGTTCAATATATCAAGATGGATTACCTGACACAATATATGGGTAGTAAAATCCATATCTGTTAAAGCGTTTGCTATGTTGCTGAATTTTCCTAAAAATTTTTCTCTCCAGTTGACCAGTATTCTATATTTCACAATCTCAATCCGATCATAATTATATCTGAGTTCTTCCCATTCTTGGAAAGACATACCAAGATGTATGGCTAACTCTCGAATTGTAGTTTCATCACATCGTGATGAAATTCGCTGAAGTTCAATATCACTCGGCATCTGATTCAAGGCACCTTCTTGCAAACCTTTATGTATACAAAATGAAGCACAACGTTAATACAGTGAATAGAACCATTTAGGGACTGCAGATTATGTTAAACTTAAAACTTGACAAGAGTATGTTACATACAGTTAAAAGGAGGAATTATTTGAATCTGAAAATGTTTTAAGAAATGTATGATGAAAACTAAACCAAAATAAATAGGGTAAGCCATGCGCGCATGGCTATGTAAGGTTCACATTTCTTTTACTGATATGAAATTTTTAACCCCCCTTGATTATACAGGTAAAAAAGTTCAGAATAACAATTATTATCTGTAAGTGCTAATTCTTACCAAATCACAAACTTAACTGAATGTGTTCAATACTATACTGACTAGGCTTGAAAAATATATACTTAGATAATATAAAGTACCCTCACTTGTACGGAGGGTCAAGTTAAATAAGCAACCTCTGCCAAATCTTCCTTCTCCGGTAAACATGCACATTTTTGTATTATTCAATTAATGCTATTTACCTTTACAGTCTACTTCACATTCTTTTTTCTTCTGAAATTATATTGTGGTAGTAATAAAAGAAGAGCAAAGCATGGAATAAAACAAATTTAAATCAAAGTGATCAAATCACTGGTGGAGAACCATATGTTAGTCCTCAGAACACTTTTTCATATACTTTTACCTACTGCAATAGGCTTCAAAGTATATAGAATGAGCAATATGTGTGATATTTTCCATTATTTCCTCTTTTTATTACTTTATAATTCTTTTTTACAATTCCAAGTTTTTATTTTATGTTTAATATTTTTTTCCAAATAAAAGATTTCTACCATGCTTATGTAACAACATTATTTAGGTAAGAATTTAACTGCATGATTGTCTACATCAGATAGGCATTTTAACAATTAATATCTCTCCAGTGGTGATCGAGGCTAAAACTTCTGAAAATCCAAAACTTAATGCAAAAGTTGAAGGGGTGATCAAAGATCAAACTAAAAAGCTCAATAACTCTGTAAATTTTCTGCACAATGCATGAGAACATTTCACCTTTTTATTTTTATCTTAGTAACTGCTTCTAAACTAGAAAAGTTGACATATCGGAGTGATAAACTAGAGGCTCTAAATAGCTTGTGTCACTCACCTTGGTCTATGTGCATATTCAACAAAGGACACTATCCAACATTATAAAAGAGAATAGAATTCAAGACAAAAATCTTTTTTGTTGATCTTGTATTGCTGATCATTTAGTCTGTTTAGTTTCTCTTTATCTTCTTTAGTTTTTGCTTACAACACAAAAGACGGGTAAAAAAAATCCTCATTTAAGGGCAATCACTCCTATAAAGAGTGACAAGATATAGGAAGATATGGTATGAGTGCCAATGAGACAACTCTCCATCCAAGTAACAATTTATAAAAGTAAACCATTATAGGTCAAGGTACGGCCTTCAACACGGAGCATTGGCTCACACCGAACAGCAAACTATAAAGGGTCCCAAAAATTGCTAGTATAAAACCACTCAAACGGGAAAACCAACGGTATAATCTATATAAAAACGAGAAACGAGAAACACGTATGAACTACATAAACAGACGACAACTACTGTACATCAGATTCCTGACTTAGGACAGGTGCAAACATTTGCAGCGGGATTAAACGTTTTAATGGTACCAAACCTTATCCCTTTTCTGAAACAATAGTATAACATCACAACATAGGAAGACACACTATAAAATATAAATTGGAAGGTTTAACTCAATCAAAAAACGTAAAATTAACACACAATGAACGAATAAATTTGATCTGTGATACCTGAATGCAAATACAAAGTTAATAACAATTATAAGGGATTAATAATTAAGGTCAAACGTAAACAAACAGGTTTAAACAAAGTTAAATTATGATACCACTGTGAAATGTTAAACAATTTTTTGAAAATCATCACTTTTGAAATAAAATGCTCCGCTGGGCGCAGCTTGATACGACCGCAGAGGTCGAACCCTGAACAGTTGGCGCAAGTATGGACACAACATTCAAGCTTGATACAGCTCTGAATTTGGATTGTGATTAAATATTTGACACAGCATAGGTTTCTGACACAGAAAGAATGTGGTCTAAGAACTTAAATTTTTTTAATTTACCTATTATGGTCCAATATCCAAAATCAAAATACATGGTTAGATTCAGCATATCAAAGAACCCCATATATTCATTTTTTGTTGAAATCAGACAAAGTTTAATTTTGGACCCCAACTTGGACTAACTTGAAAACTGGGCCCATAATAAAAAATCTAAACACATGTTTAGATTCAGCATATCAAAGAACCCCAAGAATTCAATTTTTGTTAAAATCAAACTAAGTTTAATTTTGGACCCTTTGGACCTTGATGTAGATCAATTTAAAAAACGGGACCCAAAATTAAAAATCTAAATACACTGTTAGATTTGGCATATCAAAGTACCCCAATAATTCAATTTTTGATGAAATCAAACAAAGTTTAATTTTGGACCCTTTTGACCTCAATATGAACCAATTTGATAGCGGGGCCAACAAATAAAAAATCTAAATACATGGTTAGATTCAGCATATCAAAGAAGCCCATATATTCAATTTTTGTTGAAATCAAACAAAGTTTAATTTTGGACTCCAATTTGGACCAACTTGAAAACTTGGCCCAAAATCAAAAATCTAAATACATGTTTAGATTCAGCATATCAAAGAAATCCCATGTATTCAATTTTTGTTAAAATCAAACAAAGTTTCATTTTCGACCCTTTGGACCTTAATGTAGACCAATTTGAAAACTGGACCCAAAATTAAAAATCTAAATACACGGTTAGATTCGGCATAACAAATCTAATGCGCCATACTGTGCAATTAAAGATTACTTCTTGAAATTTTTCAATATTTGAAATTTGAAAAAAAAATAATATTTGAAGAATAATTCTTTTTAATTTCTGAAATCTGAAATGAAAAAAAATTGACCCCCCACAATTTCTTTTTACCCCCCCCCCCCTTTTTTTCCCAAAAAAAATCTTTCCCTCAAGATATGGTCATAATCTCAATTCAAATTTCCAATGGAGTTTGCAACCATAATTACCCATTCAAATTTACCATAGTGCTAACTTAATCTATTTTATAATAGAATTTAAAATATGGTGTCAAATCTTTCATATGGATATTTTTACTGGTCTTCCTTTATAAATATGCATTTCTTTAAACATAATTTAAAAGCAGTGTAAGGGAAGTAACCAAAACGTTGTATTTGGATTACCTCCCTTACACTGTTTTAAATAATCTTAATTGTTCATTAACCATTACTTTATACATAATTTAAAAGCAGTGTAAGGGCGGTAATTCAAATGATGTATTTGATTTATCTCCCTTACACTGCTTTAAATTATGTTTTGTACTAAAGTATTTGTCCATTAACCAGGACAACCTTGTTTTTCACCCTTTTTTGCCCCTAATTCCTAAACTGTTCGAGCCATAACCCCCCAAAACAAATCTTAACCATCCCTTTGTGGTATGGAAACTTGTGGTATAATTTCAGAGAGATCCATACACCGTTCCACAGTTATTGTCTGGAAACTAGAAAATGCTTATTTTTGGCCCCTTTTTGGCCCCTAATTCCTTAACTGTTGGTACCATAAATCCCAACCTTCCTTTTGTGGTATTGAACCTTATGGTAAAATTTCAAAGAGATCCATTTACTTAAACTAAAGTTAGAGTGCGAAAACCAATGTGTCTTCGGACGACGACGATGACGATGACGCCAACGTCATACCAATATACGACCGCAAAAATTTTTGCGGTCGTATAAAAACCTGCGTCATATTATACACAGGTAAATGAAAATAATTTTGTTGTTGAGTAAATTTCTTCTTCTGTGTGTATAAAATCTTCCGTTTAGGAATACCAAGAAATTTCTTTAATATCAATAAAACAAATCCAACACTTGGTACATATGGGGTGAATATCAACAATAAAACTATACAATTAGTGCTAGATAAAACTTCCTGTACAGGTGCAAGAACAGTATTTAAGGAGAAATGAAATAATTTTGATGTTCATAGTACGAAGAAGTGAAAATTTGTAGTAATACCAAATAATCAAAGCTGGTATATAGACAAGATCCATGTTAACATTAAATAACAAAAAAGCATTACAAATAGTATCAACAGGTCAAATTACTAACTATATAAGCAAATTTGACTTGTTAGTAGTTCTTGACTTGCTGATCATTTTTGTGATTTAAAATGTCTCTCTATCTATTATAATTTTTAATTATCATATAAGGCAAAATGCAAAAAAAAAAAATGGTGAAAATCGTTATCAATGGGCAATAACTCTAATAAGGAGTGGTCAAATGGTTTCCTCTATATTGTCTTAATTGTTCTTGACTTGCTTATCATTTTTGCTTAATTAAGTTTCTATCTATCTATTATAATTTATTTTTAAGATATAACATGTATAAGGCAAAAACGAAATAAATTGGTAAAAATCATCATCAAAGGGCAAAAACTCTAATAAGGCGTCGCTGGACCATTTCGACTATGCAGATTTATTTGAAGAACTTGTCTTGCTGATCATTTTTGCAATTTAAAGTTTTCTACCTATAATAGCTTTCAAGATAATAGGCAAAAATGAAAAAAAGGTAAAATTTTTCATTTAAGGGCAATAACTCCTATAAGAAGTCGTCTGAAAGTTTTGACGTATATGAGCATTTGGAAGAGCTAAACATTTTGAACATTTTTGCCCTGTCAGACACTAAAATTTGTCCGTCCAAAATGCATTTCTATCAGACATATCCTATAATTTTATCAAAAGAATTCAGGAAAAGAAACATTTTGTAACTGGTTTTTGTCACTTCTAATGAAATTCTGGTACTTTCAAATCATGTGTGATAGTTTGGGGTATTTTCATAGAACGCTTCATCAGCCAAATGACCGATCATAAGTATTACTTAAGTTAATAATTTAAATGTAAGCTGTGCGGGAATCATTGTTTTCAACTTTATTAGTTTCAATATCACTGTGGAACATTCTGAGGATCAATAGTCACAATTTTGGTGACCCAAGCAACCCTGACAATAAGGTCGGTAGTCGTTGGTGCGTTCCAGAGTAGGAAATGGAAGAAAGAGTGTGTAACTGAAGTAACTAGAGTTAAAACTCTGGACTGGGTTGCACAAACGTCATTTAAGTGTCATTTAAATATACGCTAAATCTTAATTAAAATTAAGTAACAGTTATTTCTGTTGCACAAAAGGTTTGTTAAAGGTAAGTGACACTTAAAAATTTCTTAAATTTAAAAGTGGCAAAGGGGTAATTTTAAATATTTAAAAACCAATTAAACATGTTAAATATGGAAGACATGCTGCTTTTCGGCAACCTTGTTGATAATATAAGGCCACCAAGAAAGTACAGGGAAAGGCATCTTTGCTAGCCAAGGGTTACCATCCAGTCCCCTCCTCTCCACCCTTGGCAGCTTACGCACAACATTTGTGATAACAATGTTGCACCATCTATCGGTTGATTAAAGTCACGCCCATACCGATATACATTATTCTTGACCAATGGTAGCACTTGAACTCTCTTCAGTGTGGAGGTGTAAACATGGTAGCGTCTAGAGTTTACAAACTTGGTGAAGAAAAAAACGAAAATATACGTTGTCATTCCAACATTTGTACAAGAAACATACTCAGGAACTTCTATTAGTTGATTAAGAACATTTAAATTGTCACTAAATATTGTCGTATGTTTTAGGGGGTAAAGTTTTGTTGCACAATCAGCATGTGGCAATTGTTAACCTACATTTTCTACATTTACACTTGATCATGTTATAGGCGCTTTTTGATTTGATGCAGCCAGTTACGACTGCAACCAATGAAAATCATTACCTCGTGAATCCTAAATTCTCTCTTAATCCGCCAAGGGTGGAGAGGAGGGGACTGGATCGTAACCCTTGACTAGCGAAGATGAGGGAAAGCTTACTTACCTTAAATGATTTGTCAGACAAGGATACGGCAGTGTAAACCTAGAGCATTAATTTGACAAGATATGCTCTTCCAGACCCTGTTCTCCTTTAAATTTGCCAAAGAAATTGTGAAGTTGCTTTTTAAGGTGGATTAGTTTTCTTATTCAAGTTGCTGCAGTAGTGAAATTTCTGAGGAATCCCAGTTTGACGATCTTTTTTTCTTTCAACATCTATTTAATTCTCCATTTTGATTCCGTACAAAATTCGCGAAAATGCACGTGCACTAGGGACCATATTAAAACAAGTTAATTCTGGATTAAATAATACTTAAAACTTGTTAAATGACACTTAGTTAAAAGTGTGCGTAATTATCCTTTGAGCAACAGATTTTAAACTGTTGCTTAACTAATTAATATTTAAGAAGTTAAGTATCATTTATCTTTTAAATAACATTTTAGTTAAATGAAGTTTGTGCAACCCAGTCCTAGTACACAGACAAACTTTGCCTAGAGGTCACAATTTAGAGTTAATCCTTTTTATAACTCTGATTTAAATTTGTACATCCAGTCTTATTTTGTTTTATTTTGAAAACTAGGAGAACAGACCTTATCCAAGAAGAAGACACTTAATCAAGATCTACATCTCTTTATTGTGGTATAGGAAATTAAGTGATAATAAAATAACTCTCATGTTAAATGTAAATATACAAACCTTTTTCTTGTTCCAAATTATCCAGTGGAATGTCATGTTGTCACCATGGTTACAAACACACTCATCAGTTTTCAAAGCTATCCTTTTTTCTGTAATGTAACAGGTAAATCTGGAACAGGAATACTCAGTGTGAAATGGTAGTTGACTGCTGACTTTTTCGTGGACAGTGGACTGATAAAATTCTAAAATCCTCTCCAATGTTAAATGCAAACATTCTCTGACACTAGTGGCTATTTCAGGTACTATCAGCCCCTTAGAGCGCTTGTGGACCAGGAGCAATAAGATCTTGTTTCCTTCTACACAGACAACAATATCATGATCGTTATCAACTGATAACCCAACAAACCCAGAAAACATAAGTTTCCTTCCACGGTATTGCTTTAATGTCCACATACTGAGACATGCACATATGAGACGATTAGATAAAGCTGGAGGTACGATGGTTCCTCTAAAAACAAAAGCCAAACTAATAGTCCTCTCTGGTGTACATTCTTGTAACAAGAAATCTGTATCATTTCTTTGTGTAAGCATACTTGGTACAAAGAAGTTTTCTACTGGTAGCCGACTTCCTGCTTTTGTATCATATCTACGCTGTTCAGATACAATATCTAGGTGTATCAGCATATCAAATATGTACTCTTTAAATGGTAAAATCTGACGGAATTCTCTTTGCTCCCAAATCTGGTAGAGGTCTTCTCTTCGTATCATTCCATTTTTAGACATCTTTTTGAAGGTTTTCCTTGTTTCATTTTCTTTTGGCCAGAATTCAACATCTACGAAAATGAAAATAAAAAAAATTATCTTAAGATTTGAAATAAAAGTCAAAAATATATTAATATTATAAGATATTACTTCTCTATAAAAGCTAAATCGCTCAGCTAGATCAGCACCGGAAAACAAACTAATCTTGATAATTCAATTAAATGTCCTATTTCAAAACAAATCAACTTTCCTAATTCTGTATTCAAAGCATTTGATGATCAAAATTGAATACTTTCCCGTTTGGAAAAATATTACCCCACAAAAGGCATGCATATTTCTTTAATAAATGGCAATGGTGGAATGTGGTTTGAATGTATAGTTCAATCTTGCTCCTTCTCATGATGAAAAATGAATTTATTTAGTTATAAAGTCCCTTACAGCCTTTTTGCATTTTTCTAAATGATTTTTTGGGGTTTAATTATCATTGTTGTAATGTAAGAGTGATTGTTTATTTGAAGCCAGATAGTGGTTATCAAACCGACCAAAGGTGCTAAAAATCTTTTTCATTTTACAATTTAAAAAGACTTAAGTCATTTAATGGTTTAAAGAAAAAAATGCTACTTCCCTTTATGTGTTTAAGGGAAATCACCAATCATAAACAAAATGAACACAATAGAAAAATGAAAACGAGAAGAAAGTCCACTGGTATATTTAGATAAGTGTATTTCCTAACAACATTTGTAAAGCTGTTGGTCGTCCATCTTAATTTATACACTGATTTTTTTCTTGCAATTTTATTTTGCTGGGGAGATTATGTTTAAAGAAAGCAGAGCCATCAATCATAAGTTTTAAAGGATTTCATCTCTTGTTCTCAAATTCATCATCTAAACAAGGGTCTACAAAACGTCACAATGAAAACTATATGTTTTAAAACAATATATGGTTGTTCTCTTAAAACTTCAACTTTCGTAAATATTCAATATATTGGGTAGAAAACAATCGTATAACAATGATGCAAGTGATGACGGATGTGTTAACATTATGAAATTAACCTCAATATATTATGCCAAGATTCACTTGAGAGTTACAAAAGATGCTGTATGCAGTCACCCATGATGACATCTTGTCAGTCAATTGCTGTCTTTGATCTTAACTTTATGTTCATTTTTTCAGTTGTTTTTCGGGATAAAGTCTACTAGTACTAGTATACTAGAATTCTAATTCAAAAGTATTTTTAATAGATTTTGACTTGATCTAAATAATACATTCCTTTGGCTGGGTTAAGTCTAAGTTTTATTTCCCAGTCATGGTATATAATAGTTCAATAGTTGATAACTGGATTGATCACAGGCAGTGTATTTCTAACAGACAAATATGATATTAACTTTACAAGGAATTCATGCTCCGTTTTTTAGGTTCAGATTTCAGGATGAGATTCTTTCCCCAATACAATTGGAAATTGCATTTTTGACTTTAGCTAAAAATACTTCATTTTCACAGTTGTAAGAGTTGCAGTATGAATATAACAACTACACTTTGTCTCAAAACATAAGTGTTAATTGGTACTTAATTGAAACCAGGATAGGAATACTTGCATTCTCAAAGTTTCTATGCATTGTTCAAATATATTCTATATTGATAAACTATGTAGTTCTGTTATAGATAATGCATATTTTAAGGTTTTTCTTGTCGTAGAACACACCGAGGGGTGTCAGGATTGGTCAAATGAAAGACCGACCGTAGGGAGGTCTTTCTTTGTGCAATCCTGACACCCCGAGGTGTGTTCTACGACAAGAAAAACCTTAAAATATGCATTATCTGACTTATATACCGTCAAAAAAATATTATTTTTTATAAAGATTTGCAAAATTTAGCATCCTATTTTACCGACCACACTCAAGTGGGATATTCCTTTCTAATGCGTTCAGCTTTAAATACGCCCTACGGCTCATTTAGAATGTGAAATAAAACTCACTAATTAATCTAGATATAAACCTTTGAAATTATTATTCATACATAATAAAAATATTACTGTAACTGCATGAAGAAGGACACAAATGAATGGTTACCATTCGAAAACGGTGTATGACAAATACAAGACACATTGTAAGTAATTTATCCTACCAACTTAGTTTATGGAAAGGGGGGGCTATGTTTTTTTTTTTCCATTTCTAATGACATTTCTACCGCGGAAAAGTGGTTATTTTTTTCAACAATTTTATATGAATCGAATGTAATATTCAGAAAGATTGTCTTTTGAATAGCAACACATTTTTTAACAGATAATCAGTTTATAACTATATACCCTCCCCATCCGCCCCTTTTGTGAGTTTCGTGAATATTATTCTTTTATTAGTTGATCATTAGATAGAGTAAAAGGTATACATAAATTTAAAAAAGTTAAGAACTGACATGAAGACGAATATAAATACATGCAGGTCACAGTATGATTTCCTATTCAGTGTGTATCGTCCTGAAAATTGAAAACAACACGTTTAATAATTTCTTGCGTCCGAAGCGCTTTTCTGGATTTACCTTCATCAGGAACGCTCAAAGCTAAACATTTGAAATCCGAAGATGTATAAGTTCACTGAAAATGCATGAAATATTTGCCACTGGACGTTAAGCAACCAACAATCAATCAACCTATTCAGTGTTCCTCAATAAGAATTTCAAAATCTTACACACGAATATGTTAAATCTGGCTTTATTTCATGGAAGTCTACACTACAATTCATCTCACATATATGATAATGTTTCTGTATTGTAGAGATAAAATGTGGGCAATGATGATTTTTTTACACCTATCATTGATTGAACTTTAAAAAATAAATTCCCAAATCGGCAACAAAAAAACTATCAGACGAATATGATTTTGAGGTAAATTATAGATTGCATTTTTAAACAGGAAAATAATGACCTCAGATAGGTCATTATTTTATGCCTTGGAGCATATTTCATTGAAACATGGTATCGTCCGGTTGATTCTGAAAAAGAATTACCTATGGTTCTGAAAGACAATAACTCCATATAGGTATATAAATAGTTATACTAAACCTTTATACCTTTAAATATCAGTTTCAGTTTAAACTAGAAAAAAAAAAAATTCAAAATTTGCAATTGTTTTTAACAAACATTACAAAACGTAAGTTAAAACAGCCGTCTTCTCCAAATTTTCACAACAGAATAAAATAATTACCTGCACTTCACAAATATTAACGCTGTAAATAAAAAAAAAAGATCAATTTTGACTAACTGTATTACATAAAAGTTCTGATAAACCAATAAAAAAATTAATATAGGGCACCGTTCAACAGTCCCCAATGCTCTTAAAAATGGCTGGTAAACAATATTTTGGTATGTTGGTTTTTTAACAGCAATATCATCACTACTCAATGAAAATATATACACACCTGTAATGAAAGATCTCATAACTTCCACCATAAGAAGGGGACTTATGATAACGTTATCTCTCAGCTGCGGGGTGTCAAAATAGACAATCTTCCCAAGAGAATGTTGATAATTCAGAAAATCAGTCAGCTGCTCAGGAAACAGGACAGACACCTCGCTGATGGCATTTAATTCTTTAACTTCAGCCAATGACAGAATTTGTTTTCCTTCTGCCACCAATTCAGCGATCTCAAGCTCTAGTGGAACACAAGCATTGGGCATTCTTTCACCCCAACATGGATGGTTGAATGTAAGTTCTGTAATTGTTTTCTTCAGAACATCTATTTCTGGGTCCGCTTGATCTTTTGCATTGACAAATATTAGAGGCCTAAAGACCAGATGATGTTGTCCCTCATGGTCTTTAAACAACTTCTCAATTCCACTGTAAAGCTCTTCACGTCGTGTCTCAACATTCTCCTGTTAAACATAAAAAGTTGACAGATTAATACACTGTAAATATCCTGTATCACACACCATGATGTATATGCATCTTCAATGGTGGAATATTCCAACTACAATATAATTAGATTTATCTGAAATTTTCAAATGACATACATCTACTCTTACAGGTCAATTTTACACTTTTAACCTAGATCTTATACTTTTAAAGATAACAGTCCGAAACTGTTAACAGTTGTTAAATCTTACATTACAAGGGGAATAAAGTGAAAAGGGTCTTTAGAATATTTTTTTTTTTAAAGAAGAACTTGCTATTTTTTTTTTTGTAATTCACTTTACCTACCTAGTATAGAAACACTAGTAAACAAAATAAGTCACATTTAATAAGTTGGCAATAAATCTAAAACAGGTCAAGAGGGTAATTGTGTGAACATACAGATATTGTTCAATTTAAATTTGCAGTTATAAAAAATTGAACTTATTTTAAAATAAAGTATGAATCTTCCTTATACATTCCTTGTCCAGATTTGGCTATATATATCCTTTTTTATTTCACCAACTCATCAACATTTGTATTACGCTTTGGACTTTCAAATATTTTGGCCTCTAACATCAATGAAGAGACATTAATTGTTGAGAAGTGCATCTGGTGCAGTACAACTAAATGGTAGAGTTTCCTATTGACAACATATTTGTTGAAATAAAACTGACTCTAAAACAAACGGATAACATTTAACATTTAAACTTTAACATTTAAACTGAGCAATTGTTTTAAGTCAATAGACCATGACTGAGAGTGGCAGGGCCAAATAATCTCCATGGAAATGAGATGAGAGCAAAACCCATACTGCATAGTTCATTAAGCTTCAGTGTTCTTGATACATATAGTAAGACAATTATCTTAAAGACTGTCAACAAATTATTCAGTTTTCATGAATTAAGCGAACAAGACATTTCAACATTTGCACTCTTGTTTAATCTGAATCTCTCAAACTTTTATTGTCTCGCCTTCATGGAATCAAAAAGCGAGACATAGGTATGCTGTTTCCGGATTCGGCGGTGGCGGCAACAATGTATTAGTTTCTGATTATGTCTAGTTCGTGGTGAACCACTAGTGGTAGGTCAATGCATTATGCCATACCAAATATCATTTACTTATTAGTGGTTCTTCATAATTATCTTCTACTCTATTTATAGGCCCTGTAATCCGATCTTTAGTGTATTACCCAAAATCAATAGGGATCTTGTTCTTTCAAAAGTGTAGCTTCACACAAAGTTTGGTCAAGTTAAGACATATGGGCATGATATCATGATGTATGCATAAGAGCTCTTATGAGGCAGTTTTTACACATTTTTCAAGTGTTTCAAATGGAAATAACTCACTATTATATAGCTAACATTAGATCACTCACCCTTGGTACTTTGTCCTTGTGAGTGGCAACAAACAAGATCTTAGGAATGCCTGCATATACAACCGTGCAATAGGTCAGGATGGAATTGACCCAATATTGCAAGAATACTGAAAAAAAATCAAAATCTGTCATAAAAGAAGTTTAAAGTGGGGCGAAAGATACCAGAGGGACAGTCAAACTCATAAATCGAAAATAAACTGACAATGCCATGGCTAAAAAAGAAAAAGGCTGACAAACAACAGTACACAAAATACAACATAGAAAAATAAAGACTAAGCAACACGAACCCCACGAAAAACTGGGGGCGATCTCAGGTGCTCCAGAAGGGTAAGCAGATCCTGCTCCACATGTGGCACCCGTCGTGATGATCATGTTATTAAAAACCCGGTAATAAGTCTAATTCGGTGGGTCAAATTAGTGAAAAGGGAACAGGATTGTAGTTACGACATAAGGAACATATCCGATATCATCTGTGAAACAGATATTAGATAACGGTCAACCAACTCGTGATGGCGTCCGTAAAATTTACGAAGGGATGATTTCAACTTCACCATTTGGAACTCTTGGTTTAATCATCTGAGCTTCCTTGTGAGCAGCAACCCTGTATCAAGGAAATCATGGTACGAAATACAAGCCTGGGAATATCGTATCAATTATGAGATATATACTAAGTATGCAGGCGCTGCTAGAATGTTGCTACATAGAAATGGAAAGTTCACAATTGGGAAGCTGAACTCATCTCTTTTGTCAGAAAGTTTTGTTCTCAACCGGCCCTCATTGTCAATTTTTAGATGTAAGTCAAGATATGAGGCAGATTTAACTGTATCTGTTGTATCCTTTATCTCAAGTTCGATAGGATAGATTCGTTCAACATAGTCACCAAATTTTGAATTATTTAGTGAGAGAACATCATCTATATAGCGGAAAGAAAAGTTAAAGGATACTGCTAACTTTTTTTCTTTCTTCTTAAGAAGACCCTGTATGAAATCAGCCTCATAAGTATAAAGGAACAAGTCGGCAAAAAGTGGGGCACAGTTGGTTCCCATGGGAATGCCGATAGTTTGTTGAAAAAAACGTCCTCCAAACGTAACAAATATGTTATAAGTCAAGAAATCAAGCATCTTGATAATGTCAGTTTCAGAGAATTTTTTGCTTGAATTAGAGTGATTTTTTACAAAGTAGGATTTATCCCTCCCTAAGACAAGATACTTGTATCTACGTTGGCCATTCTGTTTTATGAAACAAAGCAATACCAACTCTTTCAATTTGTCTTTTAGTTTGGAATGGGGAGTACTTGAGTAAAGTGTAGAAAAGTCATATGTTTTAATACTATTGCAAGATGAAAGAGTCAAATTAAATAAGTAACTGTTAATTAACTCCATGGTGGCAGCGCATTTAAATGCCCCACGAGCGTGTTATCATATTCTTGACAAACTGAGCGGGTATCTTTCATTTCCTTGAGAACTCAATAGGGATAGGAATGTGTTAATTTCTTGTTTGAATTTCTTTCAGTATATTACATAATAAACACATCATATGATGCACTAGTCTCGTCTAAATTATCAAATCACGTAGACACAACGCTGACCGCGGGATTTAGGTTGTACCTGTTGTTAGTGTAGCGATAACTGAACCCAACAGGGGTCAAGGTTATGGTATACTGGTGCAAAATAATAAATGTTTTATGAATAAAATCCCATCTCTGAAATGACAAAAGTGAAAATGATGAACACTGAAATGGGGTTTCTTTTATTAACTCTAGTTCTGTGATAATGTTTGAGTATTTGTACAACATTTGAAAAAAAAAATGGAGAATGTGTCCATGGGAAACAAGTGATGCCCCCGCTTGCATATCATATACAGTTTTAAAGGTACATAACTGAAGAACTGTAAAGGTGACACCACAAAAATTCAAACTTGATCTGTATTTGTGGTAATAAGCATTGTGTATAAGTTTCATAACATTTGGTTGAGGCAAACTAGAGTTAGAGAACGGATAGAAAAATTCAGCAATTTTTAATTTTATAAAGGGGCATAACTCAAGAACGGTAAAATAAACGCCACCCAATTTCCAACTTGATCTGTATTATGTGGTAATAAGCATTGTGTTTAAGTTTCATAACATTTGGTTGAGGCAAACTAAAGTTAGAGAAAGGAAACCAAAAATTCAACAATTTTTCCATTTGTAAAGGGGCATAACTCTAGAACGGTTATAGTGATGCCACCAAAATTCAAACTCGATCTGTGTTTTGTGGTAATTATCATTGTGTATCAGTTTCATAACATTTGATTGAGGCAAACTAAAGTTAGAGAACTGAAACCAACTTTGGGACGTACGGCTGGACGGATGTACAGACGGACAAGGGTAAAACTTAATGCCCCCTCCACTATGGCGGGGGCATGAAAAAATGTCCAATTTGTAGTAAACAAAGTTCCATAACTCTGATATGATAAAATTTGAAAATCATGTAAATCAAAAAGGAGCTTTATTCCTTCAATCCAAACTTAGGTTAAAATGAGAACTGATTAAAGCAAATTTTACTTTTTGTATGAAATGTTGATGGATAGACCGACAGACTACAACATACCATATGCTATGTTCTGTCTAAGACAGGTGTATATGAGACAACGTCTGACAAAATTGGCCCAGATGCCGTAAAACATAATTTGGCTATGACATTCCAAAGACAGGTGTATATAAATGTGCTCAGTTCAGTATGTTGATATTCTAACATTAAACAAGAGGCTGTCAGAGTGACAGCAAACCGGATTTTCCTGCAGAGGTCTAACCCTGAACAGTTGAGCAAGTATGGACACTACATTTAAGCTTAAAACAGCTCTGAATTTGGATTGTGATTGAATATTTGACACAGCATAGGTTTGTGACACAAAATGAATGTGGTCAAAGAACTGACATATTTGAAATTGGACATTTACATATTATGGTTCAATAACCAAAATCTAAGTACATATTAGAATCAGCATATCAAAGAACCCCAATAATTTAATTGTTGATGAAATCAGACAAAAGTTTAATTTAGGACCCTTTGGACCTCAATGTGGACCAATTTGATAAAGGAGCCCACAATCAAAAATCCCTCAATACATGGTTAGATTCAGTATTTCAAAGAACCCCATAAATTCAATTTTTGTTGATTCAAACAAAGTTTAATTTTGGACCCTCATTTTGACCAACATGAAAACTGGGCCCAAAAATATAATATTTAAATACAGGTTTAGATTCAGCATTTGAAAGAACCCTATATATATTTAATTTATATTGAAATGAAACACAGGTTAATTTTATCCATAATATTTTCTGTGCAAAGGGAAATAAATCAAACTGGATAAATAGTTCTCTAAAATAAGATATGATGCAATTTTTCAAATTATAATCAATAATATAATAACAACAACCAGTGATGACTAAAATCTCTAAAATTAGATATGATTTAACACTCAACATTGTTAGAATCAGCCTATCAAAGAACCAAAGGATTCAATTTTTGATGAAATTAAACAAAAGTTTTATTTAGGATCTTTTGGACCTCAGTGTGGTATTATCTTATTAATAATGAAAAGAAATACAGGTTCAGATTAAGCATTTCAGAAAACCCTATATATATTCAATTTATGTTGAAATCAAACACAGTTTAATTTTAGACCCCGATTTGGACCAACTTGAAAACTGGGACCAAAATCAGAAATCTAATTATATGTTTATCAATAGACAATATAAGCTTCGTTTTTAAAGGAGTTCACTTCATCAAAAAAAATATATAGCATTCAGAAAATTAGTTTTTACAGAATAACAAACAAACTTGCCACAAACTTCTTCAAACAATTTACCAAAGAAAAGAAGAAAAAAATCCAAAATTTCGTTTATCAATAATACAATGTCTTTTCAAAATCTATAAAACTTATCAGTACCAAGAAATAATTGTAACAGGATGCTGTTACGAAGTCTCCCAAACAAAGCTCCCATAATTCGTCATTCCCATGGTTGCCTGACATTGGGCACAGTCCAGGTTTGTGATATGCATAATCGACGCCTATGGATTGACCCTGTATGTCATTCAAATCTTCTTGAAATGAAGAACTGAAATATATTTGGTTTAGGGGTGGATATCTCGACTGTTTACAAGTTCTCAAAAGGGGGGGGGGGGTGATCCCCTGGGGACTCACCCTTTATTTCATATGATTTGTTTGTTTTTGTCCCATACAAAAATATATGGTTTAGGGGTGGGGATCTCGACCGTTTACAAGTTCTTAAACAGGAAGGGGTAGGGGTGACCCCAGGGGACTCACCTTTTATTTCTTTTGATTTGTTTTATTGTCCCATACAAGAATATATATGAATTCGGGGTGGGGATCTTGACCGTTTACAAGTTTTCAAAAAGAATTACCCCTGTGGACTTCCCCTATATTATATATTTCATTTGATTTGTTTTATTGTCCGTTACAAGAATATATATGGTTTCGGGGTGGGGATCTTGACCGTTTACAAGTTATCAAAAAAGAAGGGGGTGGGGGTTACCCCCCTGGACTTCCCCTATATTTCATTTGATATTTTTTTATTGTCCCATACAAGAATATATATGGTTTAGGGGTGGGGATCTCGACCGTTTACAAGTTCTCAAACAGGACGGGGTGGGGGTGTGTGATCCCCAGGGGACTCGCCTTTTCTTTCATTTGATTTGTTTTATTGTCCCATACAAGAATATATATGGTTTCGGAGTGGGGATCTTGACCGTTTACAAGTTTTCAAAAAGAAGGGGGGTGAAGGTGACCCCCCTGGACTTCCCCTATATTTCATTTGATTTGTTTTATTGTCCCATACAAGAATATATTTGGTTTAGGGGTGGGGATCTCGACCGTTTACAAGATAAAAGCACATTCTCAAATTGAAGGGGCATGGAGGTAAGAATATATATGGTTTAGGGAGACTTAATTATCTACAAAATGTCTAATAATGAACAGTAAATTTCAAACTTCATTTATACAGTTCTTCTAGTATATTTCAAACTTTATATATACAGTCCTACAGATCTTATCAGGAAACAGAAAATTTTCAAATAAATCTGTCACTCCAATGATTATCATATGCTAAGATATTTCCCAGATGTAATTAATAATGAAAATTATACTTGCAAATCTGAAGGGTTATTTCCCTTTGAACAGAACTATGGTTTAACATAGGACTTTAACATTACATATATAATAATTAATAAATTAAATGTAATAATCTTCAAAACGTCTAATAATATAGTTTACAATCATCACCACTTAGGAGATAGAAAATTTTCAAATAAATCGGTCACTCCAATCTTTATTGTGAGATAAGACATTTACCATAAACTTAGTCATAATATGATAACAAGAGAAAAATATTTAATAATACCACTTTTGGATATTAAAAATGGTGATAACTCAAAAAGGAGAAATACTAAAATCATGGAAATTGAACTAGACCTTCATTTAGTCACAAGAAACAACATATCTAAATTTGAAAAAAAATCATCACAGCGTTTTCATGTTATTGAAGAGACACTGTTTGGCAGCCGCCCGTAACCCCGCCTGCCCGCCGTATATCCCCAAATCAATAACCTATATTTCCTTAGAAAATCCTGTTAACAAAATTCAAACTTGATCTGTATTTTGTCATACCTGTCAACTGACCCGTATCCTGCGGGTGTGACCCGAGATTTTCACAACTCTGAGGGGTCACCCAGGGTACCCGCCGAGTCATTAAATAACCCGGGAATTCCGAAAATGACCCGTTTTCACTCGAATTCTTAAGCCTTCAGACTGATTTCATAAGTGATTTTCCTTTGAAATACCGTCAAATTCGTAGTTCTTCCTGGACAAGAAGTTCAACTAGCTGTGTAAACTCAAATTAAGTGACCCATTTCAGTGCATGGCTTCACTTGACAGCTTTGGTGTCAAACACACTGTTAACACCAATTACCTTAGCTTTAAGTCATAAATAATTTGTGTATGCAAATACATATTAAAATATTACTTTTCATTATTAAGGGACAAAACGTAACTGTTTTCCTCCAGGGGCCAAGTGGGCCCCTAAAATATTTTTTTCAGGGGCCCAGTTGAAATTTTAGGGGCCCAACCAATTTTTATACTAATAAAATAAAACTGAAATGTACTTTTCATATACTAATAAAGCCTTACTAGGTACTCCTACTTGTATCTTTTGAATCTGGTAAAGATTTTGTGTGATAACTTTATAATATTTGAATTATTGCCACCAGAAATATATCATCATAAGATTTGACAATACTGATTTCAGTACATTTCCTACCAAAATTGTCTCCCTTCACTTTCAACTTCCTGTTGACCTGTTGACCTTTTGACAATTTGGCTGTTTCTATGGATCATTAAATGCTATTTCAAATCCAAGCCACCCTCTGATAGTGTTGATCAAAAATATTATTCAATTACTTTTTATTGAAGATTGGATATTAAGCTAGATACTATGATATTTATTTACGAGATTTTGCATTTCGTTTTTTCATTGAAAATTTTGTAAATAGTGATTCGTGGACAAGTTATCTCTAATAATCGGGCTTTTAATGACTCCCTGAATGCATCCCTTTAGCGATGCATATTGAACAGATTAGAAGAAAACACTAAACAATAATGAAATAATCGTAGAAGATTTAAAAATGGGTTAAGAACATGTGCTTAGAGAAGGAGGTATATGTGAAATCGTGACTTCGTATTGAAAACATAGTTGTCTGACTGGGTTTGGGTTATTAAAATGAACTAACTGGTTTTCTGAAATTCTCTTTATCTCGCTTTGATTAGAAAAGCAGGTTTCTGTTTGGGAACAGTTTTTGTTTATATCGCGGGGGAAAGGGTAGACATGGGATTCACTTCAAAATATTTTACAGTCGCCAGCTGGGCGATCAGGATGATAAAATATATTCGCCCAGCCAAAAATCTGATCGCCTTGGGCGACTGGGCGAGCGTTAAGTTTAGTCCCATTATTTTTTTATTATAATTTATTTTTCTACCTTAGTACAATTAGAAAATAAATAGTTGAAAATTATTTTTTTCATCTCTACTTCCTTTAAGTGTTGAACTTATTTTATTATATTCTAACATCAATTTTTTTTGAGTTAATGTATAAAGCTGTACAGATAGAAGCACACTGAGTGACTATTATGACTGTTCAATTAATTATAATAAAAAAAGGGGTTATGGTTTGGATTGTATTGTTAAAGCATTTTATGAAACATTAATCCATCAAAATCATAAGTGCATTGCAACAATAATCGTTTTAAATTATTTTCAGTTAATACTTAATCATTGGAACATGTTTTGGAAACTGTTTGTTTTAAAATATAAAAACAAATATAAAAAAATGTCCCCTAAATACTTAAATTCAGCTGGAAAAAGGTTCGCACGCGTTATGACCTGAGATTTTATTCTTCAATGCAGGTCATGACCTGCATTTTCATTTTCATAGGTTGACAGGTATGTTTTGTGGTAATAAGCATTGTGTATAAGTTTCATAACATTTCGTTGAGGCAAACTAAAGTTAGAGAACAGAAACGAAAAATTCAGCAATTTTTCCATTTGTAAAGGGGCATAACTCTAGAAAGATTAAAGTGACTCCACCAAAACTCAAATTTGATCTGTGTTTTGTGGTAATAAGCATTGTGTATATATAAGTTTCATAACATTTGGTTGAGGCAGACTAAAGTTAGAGAACGGAAACCAACTTTGGAACGTACAGACGAACGGACAAGGGTAAACTTAATGCCCCCGCCGTAGCGTAACACTGTGTATGCTTATGATAAAGTCAATGAAGTTAGAAATCGTCAGCTTATAATTTTTCAGAGAATTAAACACAATTTCAAAATCTAAAGAAATTTACAGGAAAGCATAACACAGTTGTCTGGTGTTTAAAACTTTAAGCCTGGTATCTTTGATGAATTTTGAATGCAATATTATTGTCTTACCTAACACCAATGCTGCTAGATGCAAGACATATTAATGTTAATATGGTGGTTGGGGACAAACTAAAAGTGACAAGGAAATAAATTACGTTAATGTTTAGGTTTGCTGAGATATTTTGAAAGGACAAGTTTCTATAATTTTAAATAATTGCCTTGCTGTTACATAAATAGACTCTATCTGTAAATAACATGTATTTGTACTACCTGCTGGAGTTGGTGTCATGTGCTGCCCTGGAAAACACAACACATCAGGGACCTGTTCATGCAAATCTTTGCTCCCATCAAAGACAACAAGAAATAACGCTCGGAACGTCATGAAGGTCTGGTGTGCTGTTAAATAAACATATTGTCCACCAAAATCCCAGAAGGTAAGACGTCCAACTTTCATCTTATACTTCCCACTTTTGAGGACTTTTTCCATTTTCCTTCTTATTTCTTCTTTGGTCATTCTGGTTTTCATTTTCTCTTTCATATGTTTTACCATGAGAGGCACATTGGAAGATTTCTGAGGTGGTAGAGATTGTGCTGCTGCCGACTGTTCTGAGGGAAAAGAGGAAAGTGTGGCTTTGGCATAACCAGTTGGGCTTGTTTCTGAAGCCTGGTCGAACGTTTTGGTTAGTTCACTTTCCTCCTCTTCCAGAGAGGTCATTAACACCTTATTGTACACAACATCCAGGGCATTATAAGCTTCTGAAATTATATTTTATGAGTTTACCGGATCATGATATTGATAAACAATAAAAACAGAGCATGTGAAAAACGCAACATATAAGTGAATTGAAAGAGCCTTGACAGTTGTTAAATGATTTGTTGTATTAAATTTGTTTCTTTAAGAACCTGTTATTTTTATTTACCTTCAAGGGCACGTGTGTTTACATTCTTTCATCACGGGTTTCCCCTCGCAATTGACTGTGCGGTGGCCAAAGCTATAACGAGAAGTCTCGCAGTTAAGGTCACTGCATACGGGAAAATGTCGGCGAAGTAGTGTCTGGGAAGCCAATAATTCAATATCGGTACATTTATGAAGATTTGGCTAATATAAAGGATTTTTTTTTCGAAAAAACAGTTCACGTTCACTTCTTTTAGAGTAAAACTTAGTCATTCAAGTATATAAAACATGTTTAACTTTTTTTTAATTTTGAAGTTTCATATGACTTTAGATTCCTTTTAATAAGTAAAATAATAATGTTAAGATTTTCATTCACAAATAAGATTCAATATTGAGGTGTAATACCACCAAATCATAGTACGTCACATCCGGTTGCATGCGAAAAAGGGTCGAAAAAAAATATTCCCTTGAATTTGACAGTTGTAGGAAATTAATCCTACATTTCATTGCAGTAAAAAATTTCTGTGTCATAAACATATATCTTGGGTGTTTCAAAGCACCATTAATTTTTTATTTGGTGTTTCTATAGAATATTTTGGAAAATTTAGGTTACATTGTTACTAAAGCATGAACACAGGAAAAAAAGGGGTGAAAATTTGATTGGTTAACTTTCAGTGATGGTTATTTTCTTATATGCAATGAAATGTTATGTGAAATTTTGTCTATAGTACTGGACAGGATAAAACTTTACTCATGCCATGTATTTATTTATTTGAAACAAAGATAAATTCTGCACAATGTTTTGAAAAGTGCAAATTTAACAAAGATTAATAGAGGAAAATCAATGGTGGTATTACACCTTGAATTAAATTGGTGCCTGAAAAGAAGTAACATAATATATGGCTTCAATGTGATACTTTTTAAAACAATGCTATTAAAATCTGCTGATAAAACACAGCGGTCCACACAACAGTGTTTTTTTGTAATATGGTCAGATGTTTCCACTTATGCCTTTACTCACCTGGATCAATAAGAATCCAACTTTTTGTCTCAATATCAAGGCCACATTGACCTTCAACCAAAGAAATTCCATCAGTCGGATGTCGCCCATCTGGTATGACATCCCCAGCTAACAGCGTCACAAGAGTCGATTTCCCTACTGAAAATTGGCCGGTCACCATGCATCTCATATCAAATGATTCATAGCTGCCCATCCCTAATATACGATTTAACATAGCAGACTGTTGCCCTTTTCCGATGGCATCTGAAAAAAAATTAAGTTTGAAAGTTTAAATTTCATCATGTTTGTGAAATAAAAATGTATGCTTACACACAATCGTAGATAATTTCTCCACTTTTTGTCTCTGACACTGGACACTGTCAAAGATAAATTTTATTTATCTTAAAAATTTGTTTGTTTCAACAGATTATCTTAAATAATACTATTAGACAAGGATAGATATTTATTCTTATGATACAGGAGATGTGTGATATACAGCAATGCCTTGTGACATATTTCCTATAAAGTCACAGTGGTCTTATTGGTATGATACAGGAGATGTGTGATATCCAGAAATGCCTTATGATATATTTCCTGTAAAGTCACAGTGGTCTTAATAGCCTTAATTAGAAGTTTGCTGCCAGTGCTCTTTCTGTCATTAAAACAATAAATGAGTATGTTAATGTTTTGATCTGTCAAGAGTGTCGATATGTCAATGTGTTGATGTATGAGTCTATTAATGTGTTGACATGTCCATGTGTTGATGTATGAGTCTGTTAATGTGTTGATCTGTCAGTGTGTCAATATGACAATGCGTTGATGTTTGAATCTGTTAATGTGTTGATATGTTAGTGTGTTGATATGTCAATGTGTTGATGTATGAGTCTGGTAATATGTTGATCTGTCAGTGTGTCGATGTATGAGTGTTGATGTGTTGATCTGTCAGTGTGTCAATATGTCAATGTGTGAATGTTTGAGTTGGTTATTGTGTTGATCTGTTGGTGAATCGATACGTCAATGTGTTGATGTTTGATGTGTAAATCTTTCAATGTGTCAATATGTCAATGTGTTGATCTGTCAATGTGTTAATGTTTGAGTTTGTTAACGTGTTGATCTGTCAGTATATCGATATGTCAATGTTTTGATGTTAAAGTCTATTAATGTGACAATATGTCAAGGTGTTGATCTGTCAGTGTGTCGACATGTCAATGTGTTGATTTATGAATCTGTTTATGGGTTGATTTGTCAGTGTGTTGATATATGAGTCTGTTAATGTGTTCATCTGTCAGTGTGTCAATATGTCAATGTGTTGATGTATCAATCTGTTAAATTGTTCATCTGTCAGTGTTTCGATATTTCAATGTGTTGATGTATGAGCCTGTTAATGTGTTGATCTATCAGCGTGATGATGTATGTGTGTTAAAGTGTTGATCTGTTAGTGTTTCGATATGTCAATGTGTTGATGTTTGAGTCTGGTAATATGTTTATCTGTAAGTGTTTCGATATGTCCACCTGTTGATGTATGAGTCTGTTAATGAGTTGATCTGTCAGTGTGTCAATATGTCAACGAGTCAATGTATGAGTCTGTTATTCTTTTAAATTGTCAGTGTGTCGATATGTCAATGTGTTGATGTATGAATTGTTAATGTGTTGATGTCAATTTGTCGATATGTCAATGTGCTGATGTATGAATCTGTAAAGGTGTTGATCTGTCAGTGTGTCAATTTGTTTATGTGTCGATGTATGAGTCTGTTATTGTGTTGATCTGTCAATGTGTGTATATGTCAATGTGTCAGTATATGAGTCTGTTAATGTGTTGATCTGTCAATTTGTCAATATATCAATTTGTAGATCTCTCAATGTATCGATGTGTAAAAAGCTTTTGAACTGTCAATGTATTAATATGTCAATTTGTTAATTTGTCAACTGGTCAATGTGTCGATATTTCTATGCGTCAATGTTTTTATTTGATACTCTTTTGATAACTCAATTTTGATATGATGATCTGTCAATGTGTCAATATGTCAATTGATTAATATGTTGATTTGTTAATAGGTCAACTGGTCAATGTGTCTATCCGTCTATGTGTCAATGTACTAATATACCAAAAACTACTTATTCTGTATAATCCAGTTGAGCGGATGGCTGGATTTCAGCAATTCAACTTCCCCTTAGTCTCGTCAGAGTCAACATAAAAAGACAAACAAAAGTCCATTAAAAACATTAAACATAAAACTGCAGATAGAGCATAAATCTCACCAAATATCAATGACAACAATTATTGATCCACTAGTAGCGTCCATCAGTTTGTACTTGCAAAAAAACATTTCAATACGTAATTTTGTGAAATGCTGTCCATTTATTTAATTCCTTTTATTATTCCACTCTTTGTGAATACTGATAGTTTATTTTAGTGTGATGTCCAATTTAGCTGAACTAGTATACATTATAGTTTAGGGGCCAGCGAAAGTAGCCTCTTGGTGCGGGATTTTCAAAATAATATGACTTATGTACCTTATTTAACGATCAGTGCATTATAATATAAACAATCATATGTTCATCCATAAACATCAATTCTTGATAGACATTATTCTATAGTTATATGTATTTCGTTAAATTGGATGTGAATAATGTGAAAATGATGTTTAACCATCACATGCATTGTGAGAGGAACAATAAAATTGAGAATGGAAATGGGGAATATGTCAAAGAGACAACAATCCGATCAAAGAGCAGACAACAGGCGAAGGCCACCAATGGGTCTTCAATGCAACGAGACAATCCCGCACCCAGTGGTGGTCCTCAGCTTGCCCCTAAATAAAATTGTGTACTAGTTCAGTGAAAATTGACGTCACACTTAACTCCAAAACATATAAATGAACTAAAAAAATGATATTGACGTCTCACGGCTTGTGAGAGGAACAAGTTAGAATGATATTGACGTCTCAGGCCAAGTGAGAGGAACAAGTAAGAATGATATTGATATCATATGCCTCGGGAAGGGAACAGGTAGGGATGATATTGACGTGACATGCCTTGTGAGAGGAACAAGTATGAATGATATTGACGTGACAAGCCTTGTGAGAGGAACAAGTAGGAATGATATTGACGTGACATGCCTTGTGAGAGGAACAAGTAGGAATGCTATTGACGTGACATGCCTTGTGAGAGGAACAAGTAGGAATGATATTTACATGACATGCCTTGTGAGAGGAACAAGTAGGAATGATATTGACGTGACATGCCTTGTGAGAGGAACAAGTAGGAATGACATTGACGTGACATGCCTTGTGAGAGGAACAAGTAGGAATGATATTGACGTGACATGCCTTGTGAGAGGAACAAGTAGGAATGATATTGACGTCACATGCCTTGTGAGAGGAACAAGTAAGGATGATATTGACGTCACATGCCTTGTGAGAGGAACAAGTAGGAATGATATTGATGTGACATGCCTTGTGAGAGGAACAAGTAGGAATGATATTGACATGACATGTCTTGTGAGAGGAACAAGAAGGAATGATATTGACGTGACATGCCTTGTGAGAGGAACGGTAAGGATGATATTGATGTCACATGCCTTGTGAGAGGAACAAGTAGGAATGATATTGACGTGACATGCCTTGTGAGAGGAACAAGTAAGGATGATATTGACGTCACATGCCTTGTGTGAGGAACACGTTAGGATGAAATTGACGTCACATGCCTTATGAGAGGAACAAGTAGGAATGATATTGACGTGACATGCCTTGTGAGAGGAACAAGTAGGAATGATATTGACGTGACATGTCAATTGATTAATATGTTGATTTGTTAATAGGTCAACTGGTCCATATGTCTATCCGTCTATGTGTCAATGTACTAATATGCCAAAACTACTTATTCTGTATAATCCAGTTGAGCGGATGGCTGGATTTCAGCAATTCATTTTCCCCTTATTCTCGTCAGAGTCGACATAAAAAGACAAACAAAAGTCCATTAAAAACATTAAACATAAAACAGCAGATAGAGCACAAATCTCACCAAATATCAATGAGAACAATTATTGATCCACTAGTGGCGTCCATCAGTTTGTACTTGCAAAGAAACATTTCAATATGTAATTTCGTGATATGCTATCCATTTATTTTATTCCTTTTATTATTCCACTCTTTGTGAATACTGATAGTTTATTTTAGTGTGACGTCCAATTAAGCTGATCTTGTATACATTATAGTTTAGGGGCCAGCGAAAGCAGCCTCTTGGTGCGGGATTTTCTCGCTGTGTTATAGACCCATGGGTGGCTTTGGGCTGTTTTATGCTTTTTGGTCTGGTTGATGTCCCTTTGACGCATTCCCCGTTTCCACTCTCTATTTTAATCAAATATTTAATTGCTTGAGTTATATATAATAACTAAGTTTCAAGTTGATGTGACCACAAACTACATGTTTCTTTCAAAACGTTAACTTGATACGGAGACAGATGCAAAAACATGAAAACATCATGACCCTCTCCTATTGTAGGCGGATCATTAAAACATCCATTTTCCAAAATTATTTTAGGCAGGACCGTTATATCCCACTGTGGCGATACTCTCAGGAAAGTATAAATATACTTTGGTTAACAAATCTTTTCGTATCCTTCTAAGGCAAAAAAATAAAAGCATAATGTCTTATCTTATTGTATTTATCAAAATAATATGACTTATGTTCCTTATTTAACGATCAGTGCATTATAATATAAACAATCATATGATCATCCATAAACATCAATTCTTGATAGACATTATTCTATAGTTATATGTATTTCGTTAAATTGGATGTGAATAATGTGAAAATGATGTTTAACCGTCACATGCATTGTGAGAGGAACAATAAAATTGAGAATGGAAATGGGGAATATGTCAAAGAGACAACAACCCGACCAAAGAGCAGACAACAGCCGAAGGCCACCAATGGGTCTTTAACGCAGCGAGACAATCCCGAACCCGGAGGTGGTCCTCAGCTTGCCCCTAAATAAAATTATGTACAAGTTCAGTGAAAATGGACGTCACACTAAACTCCAAAACATATAAATGAACTAAAAAAATGATATTGACGTCTCACGGCTTGTGAGGGGAACAAGTAAGAATTATATTGACGCCACATGCCTTGTATGAGGAACAAGTAAGAATGATATTGACGTCACATGCCTTGTGAGAGGAACAAGTAGGAATGATATTGACGTCACATGACTTGTGAGAGGAATAAGTAGGAATGATATTGACTTGACATGCCTTGTGAGAGGAACAAGTAGGAATGATATTGACGTCACATGCCTTGTGAGAAGAACAAGTAGGAATGATATTGACGTGACATGCCTTGTGAGAGGAACAAGTAAGAATGATATTGACGTGACATGACTTGTGAGAGGAACAAGTAGGAATGGAACAAGTAGGAGTGATATTGACGTGACATGTCTTGTGAGAGGAACAAGTAGGAATGATATTGACGTGACATGCCTTGTGAGAGGAACAAGTAGGAATGATATTGACGTGAAATGCATTGTGAGAGGAACAAGTAAGAATGATTATCAAAAATATATTCAAGAGGTTGAGGAATGATATTGACGTCACATGCCTTGTGAGAAGAACAAGTAGGAATGATATTGACGTGACATGCCTTGTGAGAGGAACAAGTAAGAATGATATTGACGTGACATGCCTTGTGAGAGGAACAAGTAGGAATGGAACAAGTAGGAGTGATATTGATGTGACATGCCTTGTGAGAGGAACAAGTAGGAATGATATTGACGTGACATGCCTTGTGAGAGGAACAAGTAGGAATGATATTGACGTGAAATGCATTGTGAGAGGAACAAGTAAGAATGATTATCAAAAATATATTCAAGAGATTGAGGAAAGTATAAATTGGATGAGAATGGTTTTAAGGTTAATGTGATCTGTAATCAATCAATCTTCATCAATAACCCACTTCACATTTCCCATCAATTTGTTGGTTTTTTTTTTTAATTATTTTTCATTATAACATTATTAGCAGATATCAAGGTTTCCATAAATAAGAAACAAGTAATTATAAATCATTTCAGCTGGTATCTGAATAATTAACATTAGATGATTACCTTCAACTACTGGTGCTGCAGGTTCCTGTAACTGGGTGTCAGGAGTTACTTCTGGGGATGTCTTTGACATGACAGTCTACAAAGGAAAAATATGCTATAAACTATCATGCCCCATGTGAAAACTTGTCAAATATTTTAATACATCTATCTTAAAGGCCCACTTTTGCCAATGAAAAAAATGATTTTAAGAAAAATTTCAAATTTGTCCAAAATTTGCACATAATGTTTGAAAATGCATATATCAGATCAAGAAATACACATGTCAGACACATTATTCTTTATGGAGAAGCTTGGAATACATATTTTCAAGTTGTCGGTTCGACCAGGCTGGTGATACAACCCACACTACCTGGCACTTGAGTTGTGTGACGGTGACTTTGGTCCTAAATCTTAATACCCAAATATGGGACAACAAATAATATTTTACTAATGTTTTGTAATGTTCTGTCCTTTTTCAGGTAGTTTATATTTTTATTTATTTGTTTTTATTTTTTTCAGAAGCAGTTATTGCCAAGTTCAAAAACAGTAGTGTTATCAACCATAATCATAATTGAGAAAATGCATCATTTCTTAAAGTATGTTTTTTTTTCATATTCGTTTTTATTTCTCCCATTGTTTAATTGCAAAAAAAGCACAAATTCAGGTTTTAGGCTTCAATCTGGCAATATGAGGCTTTTTTGCCAAAAAAAAAATGTTGTAATGCATGTAATTTGGCTACCTTTATTTGGAATCATCAGTTTAGAAAAAAAATGATTTTTGTGATTCACTGTTGTTTGCTCTAAAGTTGTCAGACCACCATTCAAAATCCCTATCTATTCCAACAAATTTTTCAATTTTCACAGCTTTCTAATTTTTTTACCACAAGTATAACTTCATAGAAAGCAGGTATATCCTGAAATGTACATGCATCACCTTTCTACATGCCAATTTTCAATTCATGTTCATGTTAATCTCGCATTTGTGTCCACTCTTCAAAAATCGCGATAATAAATGTATGCCTTAATTTCTGAATTTACAGTATTTCTCTTTCACCAAAAGTTTCATATCTGCAAATTTTTTGGTTAGATTAAGAAAACAATGACATCAAAAGCACTATATTTTTTTTTAGGGAAGGACTAATTTTACATATGTTCTAAATTGGAGTGGTTGAAAAGGTGGTCTGACACCTTTAATTTACCACATGTTTCCTCGCCACAGTAATTGTTTCATGTGTTTTTCCTTCTATGCCATATAACACGTGAGTAAAATTTACCGCACACTGCCTATTCAATAATTATGCAATTTATTTGTTTTTGTATGTAATTAAACTAGAGGCTCTCAAGAGCCTGTGTCGCTCACCTGACTCTACTTTGGTTTTAGAAATCATGTAAATATAGATAAAAATCATAACACTGATACCCACATAATGATCGAGGCCAAATTGGGTTTAATATTGGTCCCGTTATTTAATAAAATATCCTGGTGGCCATCTTGAACAGTAAATCGGCAACAAAGTAGCAACACTTGGTCAGCACCTCATAATGAACATTCATGCTATGTTTGGTTTCATTCCATTCAGTGGTACTCTAAAAGAAGACATTTGTATGTATTTCCCATAGGGTCCTATGTTCAACTAAGACCCCCGCTGTCGGCCATTTTGGATGATGGACCGACTGCAAAGTAACAACACTTGGTCAGCATTCAGTGTTACTCTAAAAGAAGACATTTGTATGTATTTCCCCTAGGGTCCTATGTTAAACTAAGTCCCCCCCCCCTGGCGGCCATCTTGGATGATGGATCGGCTGCAAAGACACAACACTTGGTCAGCACCTCATAAGGAACATTCATGCCATTTTTGGATTCCATTCAGTGGTTCTTAAAAAAAGACATTTGTATGTATTTCTCTTAGGGTCCTATTTTAAAATTAGTCCCCCGCTGGCGGCTATCTTGGATGATGGACTGACTGCAAAGTAACAACACTTGGTCAGTATCTCATCAGGAACATTAATGCAATGTTTTGTTCCATTCCATTCTGTAGTTTTCTAAAAGAAGACATTTGTATGTATTTCCCATAGGGTCCTATGTTAAACTAAGTCCCCCGCTGTCGGCCATTTTGGATGATGGACCGACTACAAAGTAACAACACTTGGTCAGCATTCAGTGGTACTCTAAAAGGAGACATTTGTATGTATTTCCCTAGGGTCCTATGTTAAACTAAGTCCCTCCCTGGCGGCCATCTTGTATGATGGATCGGTTGCAAAGTAACAACACTTGGTCAGTATCTCATAAGGAACATTAATGCCATGTTTGGTTCCATTCCATTCAGTGGTTCTCTAAAAGAAGACATTTGTATGTATTTCCCTTAGGGTCCTATGTTAAACTTAGTCCCCCGCTGGCGGCCATCTTGGATGATGGATTGACTGCAAAGTAACAACACTTGGTCAGCACCCCATAAGGAACATTCATGCCATGTTTGGTTCCATTCCATTCAGTGGTTCTCTAAAAGAAGACATTTGTATGTACTTCCCATAGGGTCCTATGTTAAACTAAGTCCCCCCCTGGCGGCCATCTTGGATGATGGATCGGCTGCCAAGTAACAACATTTGGTCGACACTTCATAAGGAACATTAATGCCATATTTGGTTCCATTCCATTCAGTCGTTTTCTAAAAGAAGACATTTGTATGTATTTTTCATAGGGTCCTATGTTAAACTAAATCCCCTGCTGTCGGCCATCTTCGTTGATGGACCGACTGCAAAGTAACAACACTTGGTTAAAGCACCTCATAAGGAACATTCATGCCATGTTTGGTTTCATTCCATTCAGTGGTTCTCTAAAAGAAGACATGTGTATGTATTTCCTATAGGGTCCTATGTTAAACTAAGTCCCCCGCTGGCGGCCATCTTGAATGATGGACTGACTGCAAAGTAACAACACTTGGTCAGCACCTCATAAGGAACATTAATGCCATGTTTGGTTCCATTCCATTCAGTGGTTCTCTAAAAGAAGACATTTGTATGTATTTCCCTTAGGGTCCTATGTTAAATTAAGTCCCCTACTGTCGGCCATCTTGGATGATTGACCGAATGCAAAGTAACAACACTTGGTCAGCACCTCATAAGGAACATTAATGCCATGTTTGGTTCCATTCCATGCAGTGGTTCTCTAAAAGAAGACATTTGTATGTATTTCCCATAGGGTCCTATGTTATACTAAGTCCCCCGCTGGCGGCCATCTTGGATGATGGACTGACTGCAAAGTAACAGCACTTGGTCAGCACCTCATAAGGAACATTCATGCCATGTTTGGTTTCATTCCATTCACTGGTTCTCTAAAAGAAGACATTTGTATGTATTTCCCTTAGGGTCCTATGTTAAATTAAGTCCCCTACTGTCGGCCATCTTGGATGATGGACCGATTGCAGAGTAACAACACTTGTTCAGCACCTCATAAGGAACATTCATGCCATGTTTGGTTTCATTCCATTCAGTAGTTCTCTAAAAGAAGACATTTGTATGTATTTCCAATAGGGTCCTATGTTCAACTAAGTCCCCCGCTGGCAGCCATCTTAGATGATGGACCGACTGCAAAGTAACAACACTTGGTCAGCATGTCATAAGGAACATTCATGCCATGTTTGGTTTCATTCCATTCGCTGGTTTTCTAAAAGAAGACATTTGTATGTATTTCCCATAGGGTTCTATGTTAAACTAAGTCCCCCGCTGGCGGCCATCTTGGATGATGGACTGACTGCAAAGTAACAACACTTGGTCAGCATCTCATAAGGAACATTCATGCCATGTTTGGTTTCATTCCATTCACTGGTTCTCTAAAAGAAGACATTTGTATGTATTTCCCTTAGGATCCTATGTTAAATTAAGTCCCCTACTGTCGGCCATCTTGGATGATGGACCGACTGCAAAGTAACAACACTTGTTCAGCACCTCATAAGGAACATTCATGCCATGTTTGGTTTCATTCCATTCAGTAGTTCTCTAAAAGAAGACATTTGTATGTATTTCCCATAGGGTCCTATGTTCAACTAGGTCCCCCGCTGGCAGCCATCTTGGATGATGGACCGACTGCAAAGTAACAACACTTGGTCAGCATGTCATAAGGAACATGCATGCCATGTTTGGTTTCATTCCATTCGCTGGTTCTCTAAAAGAAGACATTTGTATGTATTTCCCATAGGGTCCTATGTTAAACTAAGTCCCCCGCTGGCGGCCATCTTGGATGATGGATCGGCTACAAAATAACAACACTTGGTCAGCACCTCATAAGGAACATTCATGCCATGTTTGGTTTCATTCCATTCAATGGTTCTCTAGAAGAAGTTCAAAATGTAAAAAGTTAACGACGACGACGACGACGGACGACAAGTGATGAGAAAAGCTGACTTGGCCCTTTGGGCCAAGTGAGCTAAAAAGGTTGTGCAGGAAAGTAAACGTTAGAGTTTACTCATTTAATAGAGGTTCTATCTATGTAAACGGTGGCCTTGCCTACCTTCTACATACTGAAAGGTTTAAAATCTATACACAGGTTGACAGCATACTAAACAGTGAATTTATTTTTAATGTATGATTATTACATTCTAACTCAAGCTACAAAGGGAGAGGTGGACTTGGTTCGAAACATTCATTGGGGTGGATACAGAGGAGACCGTCTTCAGGTGGACACTAATATTATACTTTATTGCTTTATCTAATGGAACATTTTATTCATAAGTATAATAATCTGAAGCACTTAAGATTGTTACAAGTACATATATATATATTTCTAATTTAGCAGTTAGCTAAGTTGATTTATTAAAGGTTGACATTGTATATTAATATAGCAAAGAGCCACTTATTTCATTATTTATTTTTGTTCCTTATTATTTTTCAAGTTTTATCGCATACTCTTTTTATTATGAGTGAAGGGCCCTTTTTTTAAGAGCAAAATTAGTGTAATTGTAAAATTATTTAATAATATCATAGTGAAACTCAGTTTAACTCTATAGATTTTGATACAATGCCCAGAAGAAATGATTAAAGTATTCATACCTTGACTTTTTGTGTTTGGAATGTTGGAGGGCTTAATTCAACAACATATAAT